CGTTAAAATATAATACACACATTTTCTAAAAACGACCAAATTGTTAACTCTTAAAATTACTGCACCTCCCGTTTACCTCTACCTTTTACGGCATTAAATAGTTTAAATGGTACAAAAACTGACTTACCGCTTCACATATTCGTGACATTCTTGTTTCACCTTTTTCAATACGACTCCTGATAAAATCAACAACTTCCTGGTTAGTCATGGAGTTCCAAATGCCATCGCATGCCAACACCATAAACTCATCTTGTCCTGGATTAATCGTTAAAGTTTTGATATCCGGTAGAGCTGTGATCATTTGCTCACGATCGGACAGTTCTTTATTTTGTTTGTATGCGTGATCACCAAGTGCTCGAGACAAATTCAAACCTCCGTTTACACGACCATCTGCAGTCACTTTGCCGCCAGCTTTTTTAATTCGTTCCTCTTCAGGCTGGTCTTCGGGTTTATGGTCAAAACTCATTTCAACTGCTTTTCCTATAGAAAAAACAAAAGAAATAATTGAAATATATTCAAATAGCGATATATATATATATATAGATTTACCGCTTCGACAGACGATACACCTTGAATCCCCTGCATTTGCAACAAACAACTGATTTTCTCGTAACAAAGCTACCACAGCTGTACACCCGCTTCCTGATCCGGGCTCATCTTTCATATTTTTTTGGAATTCCATGCTTTCTTCATCCTCTTCTTCTTCTTCAAAATCCTCTTCATCATCTTCATCATCATTGTCCATATCGTCGTCTTCTGCGTCTTCCTCATCTTCTTCATTTTCTGCTTCAACAGTAGAATTTACAATTTCGTCTTCTTCACTGGATGATTCTTCTAGTATTCAAATACAAACAGAAATACATATTAATACCACACAATTTTAAACTTATTAAAATAATATAAGTAATACCTAATGATCCTAAGAATGTTTCAAGACTACCCTTCGTCTAATTTTTAAATCACTTTTTGCAAATAAAAAGTTTTGAATGCAGCTCGAAAAAGTGTGAGATTTCCCTAGAGGATATTGACTTCATACTGTAAACCTGAGCCCCTACCCCGTGACCAACGTGGCTCTTTCAAAGACCCCACCCCCCTGCCGGGTCACGTACTTGGGTACGTTCCCTTACATGTAATGTAAAGAGATCTACAACAAAAAGATGATTTTCTAGTGCAATATAAACAGAGGGGAACAAAATAAAAATTGTTAGTGTATGTTAGCATTAAGGCAGATAAATTTTAATTGAAATTAGCTAATAATTTATAATTAATGCTCGCCAGTCACTTGACGGATTCGATGCCCGACTGATTAAACATTTTTTTTTATGTTAGGTAAAATATATTGGCTGAATATCGACCACACGCGATTTCCAGTTAATTATTTACTACATGGTATATAATTTTAAAGACTGAATTAAAATTACAATAAAAAAGTCAGATTGATATTTAATTAGAAAATGATCAATACAGGCAAATTAAAAATAGGTGTACCTGTACCGAATTAAAAAAAAACATGTATTATGTCTTTATTATTTCCAAAACGGTAACAAAACGAGAAAATAAAAAATTAAAATTTAAAATTTTATTGAAGGCCAATGGACTGGATTAATTGGTCTACTTTGGCAATGTACTGCTCTTTGGCTGATGCTTGCGCTAGACCTTTTTTACCATTCCAGGCCTCCCATTTTGCTTTTCCTTTCAAATCCAACATTCCTGGCTTATCTAAAAACACAACATTAAATCAATTGTAAAGCAGTAAGTATACAACACAATTTTAATATGTGTATAATTAAAGAAATGCCCAAACTTTAGAGTGGGAATAATATTTGGTTTCCTTCATTTCCAATACGCGTTATGGTCCGATAAAAAAAATGTATGTGACAATTGTATTTTTTATCAAAAAAGAATTGATATTGAACAATAAGTCATTATCGACAATTTTAACACAATGGGAAACCTTAGTGTATGGTTATTTACAAAGTCAATTTACGTAATTGCTCATTTTAACTCTAGTTTTGGGTCCACATTTTGCTTTTTTTAATTATCAAATGAGCATTTTGTAGGCATTACGAAACAGATACAACCAGGGGCGCAACAACGTTACAGTTTGACTGGGTGCTCTCATCATAATACTATAAATGACTGAAAAAAAAAGGTCACCAATGTATTGAATTTCTTATACTTGAAAAGATCGAGTTTGGCTGCTCATTTACGAGCTTGAACTATTTGAACCGAACTTTCATGTTGGGTTATTATCTGAATCGACTGGAATTGATTATTTGAATCGACTGGAATTGACTGGGTGGCCAACCCAATCGAGTGGGTGCTCAGGCACCCGCGGACCCCCCCTTGTTGCGCCCCTGGATACAACTGTTTACGAAAAAAGTATTATTATTTCAAATGATTATACTAACCGGTACTGTTATCACCAACCGTCGCCTGCTTAAACAGGGCATAAATTTCTAAAAGATCGTCATTTGTCGGCTTAGTCTTCAAGTTCTTAACATCTTCGGCAGCTTTGTTAAATTTCTGTAATAATTAATGCCCTTATTACATGTATTAATCTTATTCATTAGCACCCTTTGGTACATTATGCGTGGAACGCCCCCACGCATAATTATATCATCAAAAAAAAAAAAGGAAACAAAAAGTTAGATACAACAAAGTCACCACTTACTTATTCACACTGATAATGGTCTATTCACTTAATTTAAATTTATTTGTACACTATCAGCCAATTTTGACCTACATAGGTAATTTCGATAAGATCGAATTGTTTTTTTAATTATTATTAATTAGTACGTAGGTGTGCCGTCAATTTTGCAATTTTTTGATTTAAAATTACAAAAAGAAAACGCAAGAAAGACGTCAAAAAGTCCTTTAAGTAAGTAATCCACTGGACTTAATTACATTAAAAACAAGTTTTTCAGTAGGTAATTACTTGAGCATGTTTACATATTAACGTAAAAGATAGATGATAAAAACTCACCTCGTCCAAGGACATTTCTGAAAAGAAGAACAAGTTGAAAGTTAAAAATAATATTATTTTAAATAAAACTGAATTTAAGTTAATTTACTTGATATTGGAATAGCTAACCTATACCAAACTGAAGAAATAACAAATTATAAATAGCCAAAAAAGACATACCTGCTTATAAATATATGTAAATTTATGTCATAATATGTATAGATATAAAGGGAAAAATAAACATTATCTGTGTGCTTACTTAATATATCATTTCTATACAATCAAAAATGATATATAGGTACGCAAATCGAAATATGATAAAAAAAAAATAAATTACATCATATCACGCACACGTCAAGAAAGATAATTTTGAAACACTCTCTAAACATTTGTAAACACTACTTTATCATTAAGTGCATTTCTTTTTTTTTTTATTCCATTTTCATGACCTAATGAAAGAGAAAACATTTTCTCCAAATGTAGGTATAAAATAAAATAGACACACGTTCGACAGCCCAACTTATGGAGATGAATTTTATACTATTATTATTAATTATTATTATTAGTAATAATTTTATCAATTGAATGACGCCGTAATGAAACGTATTTTGTTTTCAAAAAATCGTGATTTAATACATAGCATAAACGAAACTAATTTGTGAAATATCAAAAATAATAAGTTAAATTATTAGAAGGTTGTGCAAGCAGTAAAAAGTGCATGTGTTAATTAATGAAGATTTAAACAGGTCATCAGTTAAATTCATCATCATCTAAAGCTTATTATTTTGTCACTTTCTAATTACCAATCTCATCACGTACTACTTTTTATTTCTTTACGAAATCAAATCTAATTGAATAAAATTAAAGAAGTACAACTCATTGACAAGTCTTTCTAAAACATTGTGTAAAACTAAAAATTAATTTACTACAATCAGATTATCGACACGTTTTAATATTAGCAATTATCAAGAAAAAACATTTTTTAAATATTAAATAAAAATAAATAACGAATCTTTACCTAAATACCTAAATATGTAACAGGAAGGTTTTTCTCTCAATTTCTCTATACACTATTAAAATTTATTCTAAATTAAACGTTTTTTTATATTTAGTTAACTTAATCGAAGGTTTAAGACAATTGATTCGATCAACAGTCTACAGTCACTTTCGAGAATTACTTTACAGTCACTTACAAGAATTACTTTTTTAATATGTACCTTTTTTGTCGAATTTCATAGTAAAAACAAACAAATAACTTGTTAAAGTAGGTAAATATTCAACATTTCTAAAATAAGAAATAACTGGTTTCTAGGTATCTATCAAGGATTTTATTTTATCTCTCAAATATCTAACGATTGCAGTTTGATGTATCTATTTGTTTACGATGTTTGATTGCAGCAAAAAAATTAAACTGTTGATTTTTCGTTTCAAGGATTACGAAAAGATGAATGATGAATGACAGGTATTCAACTTATATTTTTTTTCAGATATATTTTGCGTTTTTTATAATAAGATACCTTATGAATCTAATTAAACAACGATCCCGTGATGTCAGAAGATTAGCAGATAGAAGGATGATGCATATATACGTATTATCGTAGGACGAAGGGTCAAAATAAAATAATGTTAATTTTAGCATATTTGTATGATAAATCATTTGAAATTCAACGATTGCAACAAGGATAATGTACGTACAGTGCGACTTAATTTGTATAATTTTATGCGCATAATGCCCACTTTTCAAAGCATTAACTTTCCTAGAACAATAAGAACAATAACATTTATAAAATGAAAAGTGCTTTAAATTTTGTCAAACAAACGGATAAAACAAAGCAAATAAAAACATTTTCAAAAAACAAAAGGAAAGTAGCACAACTATTTTGTCAAAATGTTTAACATAATAACACCGTCTAATCTTATTGTGCGATGAGATTCATATGTGAAGAAAATTTTATTAGAACTGCTTTTACTACGTACCACCATCCATATATTTATGGAAGCCAGTTATTTTTTGTAATCTACACTTATATTACAAAGACGTAAAGTTTTTGTAAGTTTGTAAGTTTGGATGTAAGAGGTAATCTCCAAAAATACTCATCAGATTTCAAAAATTCTTTCACCAATATTTACAATGGACTTTCAGGGGGGATGTAGACTATATATTATTTTGATAAAAAAAACGAATTTCCGTCGAAGACAATTTTGCAACGTGTCAACAAAAACACAGTAGAAAGAATGCGTTTCTTACGAATACTGCCCTAACAACAGTATCGAGATATTTGAATTCTTTCTATAAAAAACTGTACAGACATACTTAAAAAGAACTGTAAAAAATCCTGGACGGTATTTATATATAAATCTATATAAATATGCTAAAGTTAATTCACAAATTGATAATATATGACTATTACAATCACAAACTGATTTCTAAGAGAGCACTTCGTCGACTTGCGATGCTAAATATTGGTTTCCACGAAAAGCTCTTGCATTTTAATATACAGGCCAAATCCGCTCTGAATCCATTCAAAAAATGAATGAGAATGAGTAGTTTTGGAGATTACCTCCTATATTCAAACTTGTAAATTTACAAAAACTTTACCTCTGTACAATACAATACAATACAATTATTACTAGATTGCTCATCATATATATATTGTACGTATAGGTACGTATTTTATTGATAATATACAGATGTTAACAACAAAGGTACGTTCAGTTAAAATGCAAAATGCCTTCATTCGCCAATCATTTTTGCACACACTCTTATCAAATCCGTTGTAATTTTCAAAATATCCACCCAGTTTTAAAATGTATCTATTATACACATTAATTTAACACCTTCAAAACATTTGGGGGAAAATCTTTTATATGTATCTATACCCGTTGATGTTTAATTTTCTTTTATCCTCAATCATCAAAAAAATGCGACAGTCATAGCGTAAGTAAAATTTACTTACAATGAAATTAGTCCTTTTACTCTTACAATTAGTTTTGGAATAATTCTTGTATTTATAAATTACTATCTGAGAAATACCGCACAAAAGTAAAATAAATTAAATCCATAACATTTTTTGAATTACCTTCCTATTTTCATTTACCATAACAACATAATAATGATAAGCCGACAATAACTATATAGTAAATAAAACTAATAAAAACTTACTGTAATATTAGTAGTAATAATATGTACAGCACAAATGATACAACCAACCACCAACACTAGTCGTCCTACACTAATAATTTCATACTGTTTTAGACATACTTGATACATATTATATTTTCATCCTTCAANAATGTAGTTAATGTTATAATAATAATGTTTATACGGTCATTATATTTGTTTTATATTTTATATCTCCCATTTAAAACGATTTTCGATAATCAGGACAACAGTAGAATTTACAATTTCGTCTTCTTCACTGGATGATTCTTCTAGTATTCAAATACAAACAGAAATACATATTAATACCACACAATTTTAAACTTATTAAAATAATATAAGTAATACCTAATGATCCTAAGAATGTTTTATCTTCCTCATCTTCAGAATCACTCTCTGACTCATTCAAAAGTTCATTATACACCTTGGTGGCTGCTTCCCTCTAATATGTACAGCACAAATGATACAACCAACCACCAACACTAGTCGGCCTACACTAATAATTTCATACTGTTTTAGACATACTTGATACATATTATATTTTCATCCTTCAAACCATAGACAGAAGATAGACACCCATAGCCATAGGTTCATAAATTCATACCATAGACTGTGTCATAGATATATGCCCAAGTACTTGCTAGTGGTTAATTTAGAATGTTAAACTTTTGTGTTAAAGTTTTTAATTTATAAGTAATTATGATATGTAGGGGATATTATTTTGATGTGTTAACATTAAAATGATTACAATCAACATTTTCAGATAAATTTGCATCGTACATGCAACCCGTTAAACATATAAAAACACCACAACGATTTGTAATTAATCTTAATCTAAATGTTATTACTTACTATACATATAAAGGAAAGAAGCAATTATTTTATTCCTTGAGCAGTAATAAATGCAAACTGTTTCACCTCGTACACCTTTGTCTAAACTCTAAACCCAATTTTATAGTCACAATTACCTTACACTTATGCAGCCAACATTACACCAAAGGATTTTTTTTAAATACCCCTTATACAAATCAGCATAAATGAAACTTCTTATTACAATTGTTTGTTGTAAATAAACATATACTAAAATATTTTGCATTTCTTAAATATTGTCTACACTATTTGGTTTGTAAAACTTTTACTAGACCGTTTACATAACTTATTTGGCTTCGATCTTGAATATTACAGAAACTGTTTACTATTTTCTTAAATTATATAATTAAATAACAAAGAAAATATAACGTAAAAACTGAACTTAATGATTACAAAAATGACTTTATTAAATGAAATACATAACACTGTACTCAATACTACACAATACAGTTTGCAGTTTCAAACACAACTACAACTATCCTGACAGTTCTTCATTCACACTGAAAAAAATGTAATGCTATCGTTACGACAAAAATAATAAAGAAATCGTAAAAAATGATTTGATCGCTATTTTATTTACACTCAGCGTTGTAATAACTAAAGGCACCGCTACCGCATTGTATATTAAAAAAACTCATGATTTAATTTACGCCATATTCACTGTAAATAGTTATAAGGAATTATGTAGAACCGAACTTTTAGATATTATATAAACAGAAAGACATAATTCAACTCCTCCACACAATTTCTTTTGTATTAATAGTTTTTTATATATCAATAAATTAAATAAATCGTGATTTTTCCAAAACGAATTTAACGGTTCACTTTCACCATCAATATTTAAGGATACTTTATTAATATGAGATATTTTAGGACGATGTCGTACATTCCTTGTCGTCTTCAGTCTTAACTCTTTTTATATTTTCTGTTGATTCCGCATTGACATTATCGTCATCTGGCGCTGAACGCTTATTTGTATTTGTATTTAATTTAAACTGGACAATGATAGCAGTCATATTGTCGCAACCAGTGCCATCGTTCTTAGTGTTTGGTGCTAAACATGTATCAAACATCTGCAAACAATAACGAAAACTTCTTTATTGGTATAGAATTCCAATTAATTGAAATTATCAAATAAGCATATACTTACTAATACGCCAGATTTAAATTTATTTTTATGTAAAAATAACTTTAGTAAAATTAAAAATGGTTCTTGTTCATTGACTACCGAAATTATAAAATAAATTAAACTTAGAGATAACCAAAATCGCTTTTATACTTATTTTTCCTTTTCTATGTTACTTTAAAAACTGCCTTACCTCTTCGCATATCCGCGACATACTTGTCTCTCCCTTTTCTATGCGATTTTTGACAAAATCGACAACTTCCTGATTCGATAATGAATTCCAAATGCCATCACACGCCAGCACCATAAACTCATCTTCTCCTGGTTTAATTGTCAGAGTTCGAACATCAGGCAAGGCTGTGATCATCTGCTCCCGACTCGAAAGTTCTTTGTTTTGTTTGTAGGCGTGATCACCAAGGGCTCGAGATAAATTTAAACCTCCGTTCACACGACCATCTGCAGTTACTTTACCTCCAGCTTTTTTAATTCGTTCCTCTTCAGGCTGGTCTTCGGGTTTATGGTCAAAACTCATTTCAACTGCTTTTCCTATAGAAAAAACAAAAGAAATAATTGAAATATATTCAAATAGCGATATATATATATATATAGATTTACCGCTTCGACAGACGATACACCTTGAATCCCCTGCATTTGCAACAAACAACTGATTTTCTCGTAACAAAGCTACCACAGCTGTACACCCGCTTCCTGATCCGGGCTCATCTTTCATATTTTTTTGGAATTCCATGCTTTCTTCATCCTCTTCTTCTTCTTCAAAATCCTCTTCATCATCTTCATCATCATTGTCCATATCGTCGTCTTCTGCGTCTTCCTCATCTTCTTCATTTTCTGCTTCAACAGTAGAATTTACAATTTCGTCTTCTTCACTGGATGATTCTTCTAGTATTCAAATACAAACAGAAATACATATTAATACCACACAATTTTAAACTTATTAAAATAATATAAGTAATACCTAATGATCCTAAGAATGTTTTATCTTCCTCATCTTCAGAATCACTCTCTGACTCATTCAAAAGTTCATTATACACCTTGGTGGCTGCTTCCCTCTTCGGCCTTGTTCGAATGCTGCATTTATCATCATTTTCTTCTTTTATTGGCATTTTAGTTTTATCTTAATAAAAAACAAAATTTTTATTAAATCTTCTAGAACTTCAACGAGTTTTTACCTTTCTTAGACATACATCCGTTTTCTTGTGAGGTAGAACTGCCCACCTTTTCAGATTGTTCTTCTTTTTCTTTGTTGTTTTCAGTTTGTGAAACTCCACCATTCAAGAGAGAGCCATCAATTGCTGTAGCCTCAGATTTAGTTGCTTCATCTTCAAGATCCCCATTTGATGTAGAGCATTCATTTTGAGTAGAATCAGAAGCAATTTTTGTGATTAAACATAATTTTTCAGATGAACCAACAATATCATTTGATGTAGTTGTCGAAGAAACCGTGTTTACAGATGACGAGTTTGAAGAATCTTTAAATATACACAATACATATAGACAATATAAATTACAAAATAGTGACTCACTACCTGGCTTTTTAACACTTTCATCGATATTTACTTCGTTTATTTGAGGATCACAATTTTCCTTAGAAATCGAACTGCTTGTTGGATCACTTGAAGAGCTGCAATTTTCTTTAATTAAAGTAGAACACTTATCTTTTTTTAATTTCTCATCACAGCCTTCTTTTGCAGGTTTGGCTTTTGCTCCTAGCAGTTTTGCTGTGTATCTTTCTATCACCTTTTCTATAGGCATGCTTGCCTCTTCATATAGACTAGAAACATCTTCCTCTTCCTCATCATCATCTCTCTGTACCTTCCTTTCATCAGAAATTTTCTTTAATTCATCTATAACTTCTGGGAGGGTTAATGTAGCATCAAAGTCAAGAAAAGCATCAATAAGGGCCTCTTCAAATTTGCCTTTTTTATATGCTTCTGTTTCTTTAATATATTGTGGCAGTTTTAGAGAAGTGTATGAAGCAACTTCATGCCCTCCATGTCCGTCGTAAACAGCAAAAAATGATGTATTTGTATCGTAGTCTAATATGCAATTATGTGCATCCTAAAAAAAGGTGAAGATATTGTTATACACACTCAAAACAGATGGAAACATCAAAAGAGTAACCATCAGATGATGCACATTGACTTTAAGTGCTTGAGTTTTACTAAACGCTTTAGTGTAATTTGCAAATATACCTTAAGATTTTTTGAACATTATTTGTTAAATTTACTCACCTCTTGACTTTCGCGCCAGCCTTGCATTGAACTTGCCCCACATTTAATTTTCTCGTTTGCTTCGTCACTTGAAATCTTTTCAGTCACCGGTTTCGATAAATACGTTAAATAAGAACCACACAAACCCATAGTTACCACTAATGCTGCTAGTAATGTGGAAAAAACCTTTTAAAAAAGGTAGACAATAAATTAATTCTGATTTTTTAGTAAATAGGTAGGTTTAATCTTCGTTTACTGTTTACTCGGTGTTCATGCTTTTTCCTACAATTGTTTGACAACAGATTGGTCAATAGAGGCGCTTATAGCGCGCCAAAAATTCAATAGGGCGGGTAATTTAAATAAACGCAAAGTTTTTCCGAACCTAACTTAACAATTATTCTCTGAATTTAAATAAATTTACATATAAAAGCAACACATTTACAACTTTTAAGAGTTTTGTGTTATTCGTCAATACCGCCATTTTTATGTTAATTACAAATAAAAGCATCTTGGTTTCCATGGAAATGTCAATGAATACCTTCTAATCAAAAAATTGATGAATTTGCCATACAGAAAAAATACGATTTGTTATTCCAGTATTTTATATGGATTATTTGGCAAAATCAGGAATATACTTTGACGACGTTGATAAAATATGTATATTAGAACCAAGCGTATCAAAAAGTTCTACAGAATTGCAACAGGAATGCGACGTATATTTTGAAAGTATTTCAGTTTCTTTGAATAAATATTTTATTTTACACATATTTTTTAAGAAATTGAAGAATTCGAAAGACTATCCGGAATGCTTATTGGTATATCACAAAAACTAGCTAAAGAAGTTGAAAAGGAAAAAATGAGTACCATTGGCGTCAAGAATGTCTTACAAAATATGACCAAGGAGAAGGAAACTTTGAAGCAGCAATTACAAGTTAGAGTATAATAGCCTCTATTTAACAGTGACCTATTTAATGAAAACCGTAATACATAATGTTTTTAGGTTCAAATTGCAGAGCAGGGGATTGAACTAGAAAATTTAAAAACCCAACTTGCTTCATTGCAGAAGATCGAAATGGAACAAAACGAAGTAATAAATAACTTAAGTCAAATGTAGTTAATGTTATAATAATAATGTTTATACGGTCATTATATTTGTTTTATATTTTATATCTCCCATTTAAAACGATTTTCGATAATCAGGAAGTCAGATACCCCGCTTTTAGCAAAAAGAAATTACTTCTGTGCTCGCGAATGGTTAATTTCAATATTCCAAAAAGATTACTAAACGTAAGTGCTTGAAGCACTCTTTGTATGGGTCTGAACCAGGGACGGGAAAAGTTACAAGCATTTGGTATGAGATGATGAAAATATCATGGATAGAAAAGGTTAAAAATTTAGAGGTATTGGAGTAGAGTTGAAGCCAATAAGGGAAAGGAAAAATAGGACTGTAGGATACATAATGAGACATGAAGGGCTAGAGACATATTACAACTAGAAACAAGAATAAAGAGAAGCAAAGGAAGATTCGGTTCCAGCATTCCGGAAATACGATGATTGGCTTAAGATTGTAAGGAGGGAAGGTGCGTGTCCAACCAGTCTTATTTTACTTTATTTCTTTCAATCGTCTTATAACTTTAGTAAAATAAAAGATGTGCCTTCCTAATCATCAACTTTTATAAAAGTTTATATAAACCATCGTTTTCAGGTAAGACAATGTATTAAAAAATACTTTCATATTTTACAAATTATTAAACTACAGTGGACTTATAAACACACAAAAACATAAACTAGTTAAAAAATAGTTGCATAAAAATTAATTTTATAAACTATGTATAGCTATTTATTGTACATAATTACTGCATTTTCAAATTAAAAGAACTTGAGTAAAAATATACAATTAAGCAAATGTAATTATTTACAAGTAATAGCTACCTTGAAAGCATTTACATACTGCATAATTGCTACCTGACTATTTGTTAATTAATTTCACTGGTCTCTTAGAAATTTATTTTATAAATCCTATTAACAATACATATTGTAAAAAATGAAGGCACCACTACTACACTTTTTGTAATAAAATATACTGTCTTTCTTGTCAAGTACTAAAATTAGAAACTGAATTAATTCATTTTTGACTTCATCTTTTACCAGTTCAAATTCGCAACTTATACCATCTTTTTAAATTATCTTCAAATTTATGTTCAATTAGTGTAAACAATTGGCCTCTGCTGAAGATAAATACATTCTTGGCCAAATGAAAAATAAGAAAAACGTATGGAATTGAAAAATATTACATGGAAGGGGCACATTCTCCTTCTGTGTCAGTCTTAGCTCTTTTAGTGGACTCTGTTGATTGAATGTCGTCTTCCGGAGCCGTACGCTTTTTTGAACTGTTTTTAAATTGAACAATTATAGCAGTCATATTATCGCAACCGGTGCCATCGTTCATTGTATTTGGCGCCAAACAAGAATCAAACATCTAGACGAAAAGTGAATTTTTAATTAATGTTTAATCATATTTGTGATTAAATACATATGATTAGTATAAGAAAGGAGTAACTGAATTTAATTGAGGTTCGTAATAAGGAAAATCAAAAATCGTGCAATTTACAATACTATTAATTAAAATATTCGACATTTTTCTTCTACTTTTGAAAATGTTTTTTCATGGAACTTTCAATAATTTATTAATTTTTGAATGTACGTACTACCACAGAACGATCATTTCTTAATTTATATCGAATATTACAGCCAAATAAATAATTGAACCTAGTATTATTTGACAATTGCATTACCGATATTCGTTAAATGAATGTATTTTAAAGATTGAAAAGCGTTAAAATATAATACACACATTTTCTAAAAACGACCAAATTGTTAACTCTTAAAATTACTGCACCTCCCGTTTACCTCTACCTTTTACGGCATTAAATAGTTTAAATGGTACAAAAACTGACTTACCGCTTCACATATTCGTGACATTCTTGTTTCACCTTTTTCAATACGACTCCTGATAAAATCAACAACTTCCTGGTTAGTCATGGAGTTCCAAATGCCATCGCATGCCAACACCATAAACTCATCTTGTCCTGGATTAATCGTTAAAGTTTTGATATCCGGTAGAGCTGTGATCATTTGCTCACGATCGGACAGTTCTTTATTTTGTTTGTATGCGTGATCACCAAGTGCTCGAGACAAATTCAAACCTCCGTTTACACGACCATCTGCAGTCACTTTGCCGCCAGCTTTTTTAATTCGTTCCTCTTCAGGCTGGTCTTCAGGTTTATGGTCAAAACTCATCTCTACTGCTTTTCCTTTATGGATAATAAGATACAATAGTTCAAAAACATACAATACATTTTATGATTTATTTAAAACATACCATTTCGACAGACGATACACCTAGAATCCCCCGCATTCGCTACAAATAATCGATTTTCTCGAAGTAATGCTACTACAGCTGTACAACCGCTGCCCGATCCAGGTTCATCTTTCATGTTCTTTTGAAATTCCATGCTTTCTTCATCTTCTTCTTCCTCATCCAGATCTTCTTCATCCCCATCATCTTCTTCATCTTGTTCTTCATCTTCACTTTCAGAACAGTCTTCTGTCTCTACTGTGGAGTTAACAACATCGTTGTCATCATCATCAGACGAATCTTAAAAAAAAATGAGCACATACAACATTTTATTGGAAATAACTTCATAACTTGCATTACCAGCAGGACCTGTGAAGGTTTTATCTTCTTCATCATCGTCGTCATCATCATCATCTGATTCACTGCTAACAGAATCTGTGAGAAGTTTATTATACAAATGGGTTGCTGTTCTTTTTGGTCTTCCGGAATCGCCTATGGGTTGCTTTTTTACAATTGCTTTGCCTTTCCCTAAAATAATGAAAATGTTTACAATTTAACAACACAAATTTATTATTAAATTACCTTTAGTGGATAAAAAGCCATTTTCTTGTGGGGAAGAACTATCAACTTTTTCTACGTCCTCTGCAGATTTTTTACCTTTGTTGGGTGAAATATCTCCATTCTGAATTTGACTAGATTTAACTATTGCTTCTGAATCTGTTATTTCCTTTTCACCTTCTTCTGCACTACTATCAGCTTTTATGCAAACATTTTCATTGACACTGTTAGCCTCTGCTAAGTCTTGATTATCTTCAGAAGTTGAAGAAACTGTATTTGCAGATGTTTCTGGAGTGAAAGAATCTATCAATACATATACATGATGATAATAATATTGTTACTTTTGTAATAGAGCATAAAACAGGTCAATTTTAATTCTTTTTAGTTGACAGTTGCTAAACCATAAGGATATTAATTTGAACATCAGTTACCACTTATGTTTTAAAACTTTACCGAAAGATAAGATATTTAAGCGGGTTTTATATTAAATAAATGAAAAATATTTCTTTTTTATAGTCTCATATCCATGTATATGGTGTAGAACACAATCATTATATACAATTTACTTTGGTCCACATATTAATAAATAAATAAAATAGAATATAAAAAATTATTCTTAAAGATGTTAAAGAAGCAATTAAACCAACCTGTGTTTTTCTCACATATGCTACTGGTAACTTCACATTTGTTTGAAATAGCTTCATCTACATTATCTTTGGATGATGTAGAACTAGGTGATACTTCTGAAGAAGACTTTGAGCTGGAACTTGCTTTTTCTTTTTCAACTTGAACCACTTTTAAGGATTTTTTCTTTGTCTTTAATAGTTTGGATGTGTACTTCTCAATCACTTGTTCTATTGGCATTGATGCTTCTTCATACAAATGAGAAACATTCTCTTCATCGTCATCATCATCATCTATTTCTTCTGCTTCTAATTTTTCAGCAGCTATTTTTTTTAACTTATCAATTACCTCTGGTGAAATCAGAGTAGCATCAAAATTAAGGAATGCATCAATAAGAGCTTTTTCAATGTTTCCACTTTTATATGCTTCAGTTTCTTTAATAAATTCTGGAAGCATTTGTGAAGTGTACACTGCAACTTCATGACCTCCATGTCCATCATAAACTGCAAATAGTGAAGTATTCTTATCATATTCGAGAATGCAATTGTGAGAATCCTAAAAAGAAAACGAAAAAGTTACAAAATAAGATATTTTGATTATGATGCTATTTACTTCTTGATTTTCACGCCAACCTTGCATTGAACTAGAACCCACTACTAATTTTTCATTGGCTTCATCGCTGGATACTTTTTCGGTAATTGGCTCTGATAAATAGGATAAATATAAACCCATAATTATACTTTTTAGGACTTCACAAAATAAATACACTGTTTTTCACAAGCACGCACTAGCCTACGAAAAATGACCCAAATACTGAATTTAAACAATATTTACTCTACATTAAATTATTCTATAATGCATTACAAATTATTGTGCTTTTAAGCCTATGAAAAAGTAAGGTTACCTCAAGCACCTCTATCATAGTACCAATCCTAACAGTTCTGCCAATCGTCCATAATTTGAAATTATTAATTTCCCTGTTGGAGTTTAGAATGAATACACGGATGTAAATACAGAAAAGACCAAAATAGCCTTACTTTAAGAAATATTAGGTAAACGGATGTATTATTTAGATAATTGGATACATATTTTATTAATCATAATTCTTATAGTATATCAAGAAAATCAGTATCAGGCATGTTTATAGATGCTGTTATGACTGGTTGATTACCGTCTTTTTTTATAACAAACACTCTTATTAAGTTGTTTTTGTCACTGTTATCACCTTTTATTGGTTCATTTATTTCTAATACTTTTGTTTCCATTTTATAAGACCGCATTGTATATTAAAAAAACTCATGATTTAATTTACGCCATATTCACTGTAAATAGTTATAAGGAATTATGTAGAACCGAACTTTTAGATATTATATAAACAGAAAGACATAATTCAACTCCTCCACACAATTTCTTTTGTATTAATAGTTTTTTATATATCAATAAATTAAATAAATCGTGATTTTTCCAAAACGAATTTAACNCTAAAATTTTATTAAAAAAGAGTCTTACCTTAATAACATAAGATGAAAGTTTGTACAGTGAAGTTTTGCAATGGAGTATTGCTGATAATCCCAATAATGGCTTCTCATTACTCATATTCTCAACATTTAAAATAAGTGTAAATGTGGGACCCAAACCAGTTACCTAATAAATATTAATACTAAGGTTACTTTTTAAAGCAAACACAAACCTTATTGGTTATTGTTAGTTAAAAGTAGCTTAAAATATCCGAAAAGATGTGTATTTATGTACTTATCAATAAAAATGTAAACACATACACGAGCTGATAATTTAACTAATTCTTTTTCGTTCCCTGCTGCATTTTCATCTGGTTTTAAATGTACCATTGCCCGTGCTGCTGTGAGACGCATTTTTATGAGGTCTTGTTGAAATCGTTGATGAATATCTGTAATTAAGTACCTAATTAGTTACCTTGACTGTACTCTAAAATTGTTTTTTCAATTTAAATCACTTTCGGGAAAATAAAATTGCTAAAGCTATTGCGTATGACTAGAGAAAACGAAAAAAAAAAAAGAAAATTGTATTGAAATTAGGAGAGCGTAAAAATATCTATTGATTGGACTTAATGAGAACAGGAAAGATCTACAATAACAACGAAAGGACTTAACCGGCGATCGGCTAAAATAAGGACTCAAACAGAAAACCAAACTGCCTAGTTTTTATAAAAAATAAAATATGTACCTAATAGTTCCTTAACCGAGACTATTAATACATTTTATATTCAAGTAAAGTACTGAAAAAATCTCGCAAAAATTAGTTGGTTTGAAAAACTTACCACAAGCGTTTTGCTTCTCTCTCATAACTTGTTCCACAAACAGTTTACTCCTTTTTGGTAGAGGTAAGGGCCGATTTTCGACAACGGGTCCAGACGTTTCTTGACTTTCAAGATTAAAATTCGCCGTACGTTTCAAAATTTTGAAATTAAGAGCACCAGCTAGTAAGTTAAAAACAAATTTATAATTGTTACAAAAATACTTTCATCTAAAATTTAACTTACAGTTTAGTCTCAATATTTTAAATTTTTCGTTTTAATTAATTTACAAAACAAGAAATTAAATTATAAACCACCCCCTAAAGAAGCACAGTAGAAAATTTTGTCAATAGAAAAAATACTGTTTACCTATAGTAATTATAATCAAGACGTGTTCTTCTTGACCCATTTGACCAAACAAAAGTGCTGAAGGGGTATCGGGAGCTGAAATGCAATCAACGATATGTCTACCTTGAAATAAATGAATCGCACCATTTCTCATACCCACCCCCACCAAATAAGTATTTGACGATTTCAATGACAATAAACATAAACACGTTATCTCATGTATTGTTTTTACTGTCCACATTTTATTTCCCTAAAACAAAGCAGGTAACTTTAAATGAATATGAAATCGTTGTGTTTATTATTTATACCAATTTTTTTTAAATATTTTATAAATTGAAAATTTTATTTGTATTATTTAATTCTCTCATTAATTAATAAGGTTTTCGCTAAGGGTACAGCGCACCAAGAAAGTAAAAATAGTAATAAATTTATAAAATAAAAATGATGTTTTAAAAAAGCACAAAATAATTGATTTTTAATTACATACGTAATTTATTGAACTAAATTTAAAAAAATACTTTTTCCAAGGATAATTATTTATATTTAGGGGTCGTTCATAAAATACCTACGTTAGCAACTAAGGGACAGGGAGGGGTACTGCTTAGCGTGACGAGATATGACAAAGAGGGAGGGGGTATCTAAGGAAATGTGACGTTCGCAGCTTATCAATTTTATTTCAATGTTTTTCTCAACTTGGCAGTTCTAAAAATTTTTCTTTACAACACAAAATCAATCCCATTGCCATTTTTAATCACATGAAATCGTTTGTAGGGGTGGAGACTACCTTTTAAGACGTAATATTTGTTAGGGGGCCGCTGAAAGTGTAGGGAGGGAGGGGTCCAAAAACGTGAAATTCTATGGTTTGTGCTTGAAAATATGCTACCAGGGCTTAGGAACTGCTTGAAGCATTTTCAAAATGTTCAGGGATTTGAATCAAAAAAGATATTTACTATATTAAATAATTCAAAATCCTTACATTTTAAAATGCTATTGGGACTTCAAGGACTAAAGCACTTCAAGCAAAGGTTTTGGGCTTAGGGCTTGAAGCTCTTTTAGTGAGGGCTCTGCCCAGACCTGTTCATAGATCTTTTCTAGACCAATCTAATGCATACGAAAAGCAATGTTATTTTTATAATTTCAAAACTATAATAAAGTTAAGTCCAACTGGTTTTACCTTTTTTGAATAACAGGACAAATTCTTCCCTGCTGTAGCAACAACCAGCGATTTGTCAACCGACAAGTGTACAGCATCAATAATAGCATTTGCTGTACGAAATAAGATTTTTCCTTCGGTCCATCCATTTCTAATAACACACACGTGGTTTTCTCGACATATTACAAGGATTCTAAATTCCACGTCATACAAGCCAGAAGTTTGCAATATAAAAGGACTTGATTTGATATTTGCGGAAACGGCCTAAAACCACCAATCAAATGCAAATATTATTATAACGAATATACTAAAAACAGTTCAATCTGTTTTAATTAAGTAAATTATCCCCAAAATGAATTTGTTTTTTATTAATTTCATTCGTAAAGCAGTAGAATAAAAAATCTTAATAAACAGATACAAAAAAAATGTGCTTGATATCGACTTTAGCACGGCTCCAGGTTCGGATTTGGATTTAAAGTACATTTTTCACTCTTAAAAATTTCGATATTGAAATGGTCACATCTCGTGATAGATAAATGAAAAGATAATAATATTCGAAGTTATTACACAGAAAAAAAATGGTGCAATCGATTATTGAAATTAGAAATTCAAAAAGCCCATTGTCAATGTACTTAAATGCATCACAAATCAACAGTTAGAGCATCGAATTACTCTCCATTTAAAAATAGTATTCTGTTTTCTGTTTGATTTCTTCCATCTTAACTTCCTCTATTCGTTACCACGATTCCAAAAAGGAGGCTGAAGAAGAAGAGGGACTTCCGCCCTACCCTTCGGTTTTGTCTACTCATCGACTTTAGTAGCTAAAGCGGATAAAACACTCGAACTCTTATTTGCTACTCTTAAAAATATCAAATGGTTCCCTAACCATGTTTGGCTTTAGTAATAAGTTACCTTATGCAAAACAGTGAAAGTTAAAGGATCTAGTATGAAAATATAGCCATTTTCAGTTCCAATAACGGCACAAGATACCGCAATATCATCTTCAGAATTTTTCCTTAGTGTTGTGGAACAAGTAATAGAGGGATGAATTGATGGTTCTTCGCCAGAATATTTATCAATTTCTTCCTTGATATTATTCAAAGGGACCGACAATAACTTTTGAGATCTACAACAGTAACGGGAAAATTAATTCGTATCGGAATAATTTTAAGATAGAATCCACCTTGAAGATAGGGTCGAAAAGGAAACTGACTGCAGTTTTTCTAATAGTATCTTGTAATCTGATTCGTCTGTAACATGTGGTAACCGTTGCCAGACATTCGACTCTGTCGTTGTGAGTGGAAACGAAGGTACGGAAAATTTATAAAAAGGCTTGTTGTTTTTGTAAATTAAGAAGTCAGTATCGCATGACACACCGACCACTGAAAGGGTAAAAAAAAAGTTGAACAGAAACTTTAATCTGGTAGATTAAAACAACATTAAAAAGTAACTGTTAATGTAAGGCTGTAAGACAAATATTGCACTTCGATGGTTCATTATATTATTAAACAATTTTAACCTCAGAGGTCAGAGATGTGATGAATACGATTGTTGTTATGATGTTTCGAAATAGAATCGAAATGCAAAATGCAAAATACAAATGTATTTTATAAATGCTTTTTTATTGCTATTGCACTTGTTGTATTGTTTATTACCTGGTTTTTCTAAATAATTGTCACAGCAAAAAATGAAGTACAAACCTGGTAAATAAGGTTCAGTTAAGTCATTATAAAAGCTGATAAGAGACGATGGTAGAACCGGTAAGGGCTGATTCGCTACAAGACCTGTCCCTCTGTACACTTTCAAATTTGCTTTTAGATCTTGCCCAAAGTCTACATCTACCAATATTAAGCGGTAGTCTCCATCCCCAAAAATGTCCCCCAAAATTAAGTTTCTCGGTAATGTTTTTAAACCTGCGTTTCGTTCCAAATGTGCTTCCAGCCATTTTGAGGTATGGAATTCCATTAAAATTTAAAGAACCTTCACTTTTTATCTCTTTATTTTAAATATTTGCTTTAAAGTTATTTGAACTCGTGTTTCCTATCATTGGTAAAACGTTAACGTGAAAATTTATTTAAGAGAATTGTGTTTGTAACGATTACCACTATTATTATGTTATTAAAATTAAAAACCTTCTGTAGGCACTGTTTCGTATACATTCATAGACACACCATTTCTATAACAACGATTATACAAACAAATACAGGCTCATCGTTTTATTCAAGTTCTGCTTTGTTAATCAATAAACGAAGTAAGGATAACCAAAAGCGATTAGAGAAAATTTCCTACTTAAATCGTACTTAAAAATTCGCTTAGATACGTCTATTATCAAAGACAATCATCATCATAAGGTCGTCAGTCCTAAAACTGGTTGGATACGCACCTCCATTCTTTCCTATCCTGAGGTAATCTTCGCATTTCCCTAACACTAGAACATGCCACAGCCTTAATTATTTGTAAACAGTAATCTAATCTACGTCTACCTCCCGTTTCTGCTTCTAATATGTCTCTGATCAAAGACAATAGATATTTCTAAACTTCAGAGCATTTGTCTCATTCAGATTATAAAGTTGAAGCTCTTTTTACGTTTGTTCATTTATTCACGGAAGATGAAATAAACACCTTGTATATTACAAGTTCTCTCTACGTAAATGGAGAAATATATTTGGGAATATAAATATATACATTAGGTGCAGACCCTTGCAAGTTATTTTTAACGTCTAACAATGAGTTCGTTTGAATGATAACTAACTATATTCAAACATTAAACTTTTATTACACATTATACTTTTTCAAAATTTTATACACTTTTTATCCTTAAATAACAGTAATTTTATAAACATACCGAGGTATAAATTACAGATTTTATTCGTAGTTGGGTCGTTCAGATTTGATACGTTTGTGGTGTTGAATGGAACATCAAAAAGCGATAACTGATGATAAGTATCGCCATTTCATAATTAAAAAATGTTAAATTAGTTTCTATTTATACTTCCCAAGGCTTAAACAGCTAGAACTAATTTAGTTATTGAGGATTTATTTATAATAGTCTTTTTATCCAGAAATGTCACTGTGGATAGAATGTAGTATGTTACAAAAAATCCGTAAACCATAAAGTGGCAATAAACCGATTGTTTTATTAAACGTTATATGATATATGTATAATGTATATTATATATAACTATACAACAAATGTCAATATCAATGTAAAATATCTGACCTATGTAATGGTCGACCTTAAATATTATCATTAAGTCAATATAACGTAAAATTTAAAACCCCAAGTATTCAACTTCACAAAAATATATTGATTAAATAAGGAAACACCCCAGGAGGCGTATTACTAGATACTATGGATGAGGCTTCAAAGTACTTTTTGACTTTACGCTGTAAAAATCACTAATTTTTCAAAATTGAGAAGTTACTGATTTTGTAAATCTCGACGTTTTCAGATCGTGAGAACCTAAATAACTACGGCGAATGCTGTAAATCCCACTAAAATCAGTTCGAGAATATTGTTGGCAAAAAGTTTCAAAAAAAGTTATTTTTTTCTTTTGAATCGACATTCGACTTTTCAGTGAAATCGGATTTGGTACTCAGTTACATTTGCTTGTGCTTTACAAACGTTAACAAATTTCTGCCCAAAAATATATCATATACAGTCATATTAAAAAATAGGCTGGAGGAGCAAATGATAAGGGAAAGGGATCTACGAAGAATGCAGTTTACATATTTACATTTAACTTCACACAAGCCAATTATAGCTTTGCTTACTACAAAATTATGTTGTACTTTTATTTAATGACATTGTATAAATCGGGAACTTTCACTCGATGAACGTGGCTGCTAAATTATTTAGATACCAAAGAAAATTTCACTTCCAGAAGGAAGGGTGGTGAAAAATAGCATGCGCACCAAGAAAGGAAACAAACATGAGGTCTGAGACATTCTTTACTTTCCCTGGCCAGGTGCGTAATATAGTAATATTATCAGGGAATTCAAGGCGTTTTGAGTTTTCTGAGCTTGTAAATATACTTGTGCTTGTACGGAACTGAAGACTGATTTGGGCTAACTTAAAGTCTAAAACGGTGTGGCGCACCCTTTGTAAATATTTTGTCCAAGCACAAAGTTTTCTTCTAGTAAAAATGTTCATGGTTTAAGGATGTTTGGGATATATGTCAAAATGCTACGAGACAAATAAAAATAAGGAAGAACGTTCCTCATTCAATTGTAAAACTCCTGTAAAAATTACAAATCGATTCACTAAACCGTTAAAAAGTTATTCAAATTTTAAAAAATTGTAATTTTACACGTTATTTTATGAAGATTCGTTAACCGAACAGATTAAATTTATTTTTATCGATAGAAAAAAAGCTACCAGAAAACTTTTATAGGTAATAAGTAACTTGAACTCTGGAGAATCACTTTAGCGTAAGGTTATTCAAATTCACTAAATGATTATCGAGGAAAAAATGAAAAATTAGCTGAAAATCTCGTTTTTACTTGATAATATAATGATAATATTTATAATTGTCTGAAATAAATGCAATTTTAAAGTTTTAATTATTATTTAAACATATTAAAAAGTTTTACGCTCATTATTAATAGAGATTGAAACTAAATATTTTTTTGTTTCGAAGTTGAAATCAAGGCATATTCACTGCCAAAAGTCAGTTAAAAATTTTCCATATTATTCGTTATTTCTTATTTTATTCAAAGTTTTTGGTCAAATTCCAAATTTTCTCTCAAATCGTATACTTTTTTTTTAGTATACCTAGATAGTATTTATTTACCTCATCATATGCTGCAAAACCTAATTAATCACGAATTTCTAATTTTATGTTCTCTTGTCTCCGATTGTACCTCTCAAACATCCTTAAAGGTGTTCAAACTAAAATAATACATAATATATGTTGTGGGGGTTTTTCGTAATAGAAAGCTTCCTTATATGGCGAAAATTTAAACTGCAAATTTCTTAAAATTCTTTTCTGTTTCGTATCAACTATTAATTGAAGCAAACATTACTAATATTGTTTAATTGCAAAATAGGTGCTTCAACTGTTCTTTAAATATTCAGACATGGTTCAGACCTGGTCACTTAACTTCGCGAGCTTTCAGTTTTTCTCCATAAATATAGATTTAGCGAGTTTTCCAACGTATAGCTACCTAGTTTATAGTTAATTTATCTATCAAACAGAATCGTGCACAAATTTAATGATAAACAACGGCAACTGCAACATAAAATTTCATAGCCTCCGTATAATAACACGGCTTGATGTGAACATGAAAACTAAGCATTTATTAACCGAAATTACATACCTACGTACCTACAATAAATGAAAGTACGTTATTATAAACATGCTGACAGGCAAAATAACGCATCAAAACAGATACGTGTATTTATTTAAAATAAATGTATCATTGCTCTTCTTTTGTTTGTAATAGTTTTGTAGTTTACTGTTTATCGTTAATTGTTATTATTCTTCAACACAATCAGGAATGGAATTCAAAGAACTCGAGAAACGCACGATATTCATTCTGATCGCCGTTCGGTGCGTCCCCGGTCGTCAACAACGTCGTTAACTCGAATACGAGCGAAAGGCTGCTCAGCTTTAGGTGGCTCGGTGACCCACCAGGAAAAGACTCGACAGTTTGTCGTGGACTCGAGGAATGCGTCCGTTGTTCTTGGATATTAACGCGCGAAACGAGCTGTGTTCAAGTTATTTATTAATAATAAAAAAAAAGGGAATTGTCGTCAACACGTGCTGTTGTGAGTTAAATTATTATTGTGCGACTGACTCACTGCTTGCATACTTAGGGTAATAATGTAAAGTGCTTCGAACTGCAGCAAATGAAACTAACTAGAATATCGTTAGATAAATTAACGATAAGTATTAAAATGCAATCAGAAAGGTGCCGTGTTTGTTTTTATGGATAAGTAAAACTGTTGGACATCACGATTAGGAAAATGTGAGCTATTTTATGGGCGCCCACAATCCTACCTGTTGCTATTAAGGTACGTGATTGTAAATGTTGTTAGTTGTTTATTCACTTTATTCGTTCTCGTGGGAAGGCACTTAATACTTATTATTACGAAATCATTGTTCCAATAGGATTCAAATACCAACTTTTTACTATTTTAATGTCCGTATGTACGGACGTATTTTCTTTATCTAATCGTGGAACGTATTAAACGTGTACCAATTACGGTACCCACTTAAATAACTAAAGTTCTGCCGCTCTACCGAAATTTAAACTTTTAATTCGTACTACACAGATGTCTATCTATTTTTAAATGTATTTAGAGTTTTTGCGTAAGTTATTAAACTCTCTCTAAATTTGGTCAAACCAGGTGCGAATACAGAGCGCCATGGGTGCCCCCCTTCCTTGCACGTTATTTGAACTAATTTCAAATTTTTGAAATCTTCATAAGGATGTCGCTACTTGCTTATAAGAATCGTTATTAACTCATTACTACCTCGTTAATCGATCACATAAATCTTTCACTCAAAATATGATCCCGAAGATTTTTTTGCTTTTATTTAACAATTTTCTAAGATAGATAAACAGAGCATTATTCAAATGTAAATATTTACATATCACATGGATATCAAACTACAATTTTGTCACTTTTTTTGTTTAGAACGAATCTTCTGAGAGGTAGATAAAGTTACACAAAAATTGCCTACCCTTGTAAAGAAACCTTTGTAACCAGCCCTCGAGTTAAATCCGTTTGTAAATATCATGTACCTAGTTTGTTTTGAGATTATTTCGTTAAAAAAGAGGCTAACTTTTGCTTGTAGCCCTAAAAACTCTATTCTTGTAATAGTGTTGAAATACACCGATTTTTACCCTTTGGTACTCTCGAATAACGATTGAATTCCTTACAGAAATAATTTCAGTTCAAGTTTATAGAAAAAGTTGGATAAAAAATATAGCAACCAAATGAATACTAATATCTTCATAATTTTGTCAATTTACCTGGAAAATTATCATTATTTGTGTGTTTTTGATGTACCCAGCAATTGTTTAAGTCTGGTTTTCTTATGCAATATTGACTAGGAACACTTTTGTGTAGAATTTATTTCCTTATAAAATAACCGGTATAAAATTTGTTAGATTTTCCACTAAGTTAGAGCTATTTGGATGAAATTTTCCCAAGATGTATTCGTATCGAAAACCTTAAAATCTTATTTGTTCTAAATATACAAAAACAAAATTAATTTATACGGTTTTTAGCGAATATAATAAGAAATTGTTTGTGGCATTTTCCCCCTTATGTAGGGAAAAGTCCATCAATATATTGATTAAGTAAGTATGCGATGAGAAGCAAAATAAGTGCACGATCTAAGTACGTACTAAACATATTCCTCCTCCTGTAGTATTTTAGGGCTTCTATTAACTAAATAAATACATTTCGAAATGCTACGTTGTCCCTAATAAACACGGATACAGTTAATTTTCCCTAACTTAATACTATCAGTCATGTTCGAGTTAGACAAAATTTGAGTTAGGGAAAATTTCTGCTTTATCTTCAAACTTTTTACTTTTTTTTTTTTGAAGACTTCGGATATATACATAATTTCTAATAATCTTTCGAATCTTTGATGACAATGTCAGACAATATAAGAAATTTGTTAGTGTTACCGTAACATTATGATCGTAACCTAACCGCCTTTTTTGCAGTTTTCCACTGCGAAAATTAATGGTGGCAATAGTCCTAAAAATTCGAGTCATTATTATCGTTGGAGATGATTTTTCCGAAGAAAATTAATGGAAATTCGAATTACAGAGACAATTTAAAATGCCACATCCGCACTCGAATGTCGAGTTAGAGAAAAATTCGACAAAACTAAATGAATGGGTATTTTAATTGAGGAAAAAAATATTCGAGCTAGAAAAGTTTCGAGACGCTTAATTGTATTTTCGTTTTAGTTATGTAATTATAAATCCTAATGCGGTTTGAAATATGCTGTACAAATACAAAAAACTAAAACTTTTTAACTAAAATTACATATGTATGTTTACAAGGTGAGATTAATACCATATGGAAAAAGTGAAGGCCAGATGAAGTGATCCTCGACAGTACGTGTGGTAGTTATAGTTACAGTAGTCAAACTGAATATAAATACATTTTTGTCATAGACGTTATTTATATGTATAATGTGCAATAAATTATTATATTCAGTTGAAAACTGTTTTATGAAATTTCTATAAAAACTGCATGAATGTTTATTAAGAAATTTGAACAAAGAAAATTTCGTCATTAATAATTGTAGGAGTAATAAAGGACTTAAAAAAAGGAACTTCCACATAGTAAACAAGAAATATAATTTGAGGCCAATTACTTTTTTGTTTACCATTAACTTTTTATTTTTTACTTTTGAATGAAGAATATTGACAACTACAATTAATGTTTCGAAGGTTAAACAACCTCTAATAGATTGTATGCTTAATAAGCACGTTTCTGTTGCATCAGCATTAATAAATGATTTATCAATATAAAAGGTAAACATATGAAATCAATTAATTTCGCTTTTTTTTTAATATACAAAATGTTTGTGTATATCCAGCCCCTCCCTATTCTTTACTTCGGTAAAATATTAAATATTAATGTATTAATGTGAATTTATCATAATCATAAGGTCGTCAGTCTAAGACTGGTTGGACATGTACCTCCACTCTTTCCTATCCTGAGCTAAACTTCGCATTTCCCTAAAACTAGAACAGCCCACATCCTTAACTATTTTCGAACAGTAATCTAATCTAGGTCTACCTCTACTCCTCCTAACTCCTGCTTCTGCCTCTAATATGTCTCTAACTAGACCTTTATGCCTAAGAAGGTGTCCTACCAACCTATCTCGCCAATTTTTTATTAACTTCCATAGAGTCCTCTATTCTCCTAATCTTTCTAATACCTCTTCATTTCTAACCTTTTCTACCCACAATATCCTCATCATCCACCTATAACACCACATTTCGAACACTTCTAACCTTTTCTTTTCCGCCGCGCCCACTGTCCATGTTTCGCACCCGTGCAATGCCGTGCTCCAAACATACACCTTTAAAAACCTTTTTCGAATTTCTAAATTAACCGTTCGCGAGCATAGAAGTGACTTCTTTTTATTAAAGGCGACACGACCCTGCGCTATCCTCTGCTTTATATCCCTACTACTCCTTCCATCCTCACTTATCTGACTTCCTAGGTATCTAAAATCAGCCACTTCTTCTAATTTTTCGTCTCCTATCTTTATATTCGCTCTTTTCCTACTTTTTCTTCCCTTGCATACCAGTATTTTAGTTTTACTTTTATTTATTTTCATACAGTACTGATCTGTCAGTACCGCTTCCATTTTATTTAAAGCTAATATGTAAATGTGAATTTACAGTGGATAAAAATTAAATGAATTTTCACATTAATATTTAGTATTACCACTATTAAATGTCAAAGTCATATAAAATTAAAATATTTAAGTTGCGTGAAAATTGCCACAACAGTCATTCAGCTAACGATAAGATCGGATTTTTTTGAAATGTTAGATGATGATGTATTATCGCTTAAAAGCTCAAATAGAAAGTGGAGTATTATAGAAAACGTAAGTTCAACTAAGAAAATTATGTTAGCGGCTTCCAAATTTAATGATGCACTTTTTATTAAAAATTACCGTCGCTAATAAATGATTTTATGGACATTGAAAAAAGTCACCTTTTTCTTATGCAACTTGATCAGTTAGTTTTGGATGTGCAATATTTGAAAGCAGTTCGTTGTTGTGTAATTAAATGAATTTGTATCAAAATTGATAATAGGTTTAACAAATAAAATTCTCTTTTTTTCGTGAAAGAAAGCGGTTACAAACGCTAACAAGGCATAGCAGTTAACAAATTTTGTTTGGCAATATACTTACTAATTTATTTTATTTAATTTTTGATACTACTTTTTAGTAACAATAGCCGCAAAACATCAAAAATTTATTTCATAACTGTACATTGTACGTTCTATGTCGGGAAATTTTCTAATTTGTTTATTATTATTACACCAGCTGCATACAGCAATCATTGTAATTTTTTTATAAAAAAATCTATACATATCAATAACAATGTCGGCTCTTTTATGCACTTTTTCTTGCATAATAAATGTATGCATGTACAATAAAATTAATGTATGTACAAAATGTACATTGTACAATCGTATATACTGTATACATACGTATGTATCTATCGAACTCACAAAGGATAAAACGATTTGTTCATACTTATTTAAAATATATATTTTTCAGCATCACTTTCGTAACATCTTTTTCCGGCATACTTCATTAATTTCTCAAGGCGGATTATATTATTAGATCCCTATTTGTAAGGACGGTTTATTGAAAATTACACTTTAACGTATAGGTACTTATTTTTTATTATTATTTCTTCCATTTTGTAAATCAATATACAGTGAAATTTGTTTATTATGGCTCCGCCTATATTGACCAACCGTTTAATATGAAATAATTGCAAAGTGTTAAGATTAGTTTTCATATTAAATTCTCTATAGGAAAGTTTGGGTATAATGACTCCGTTTAAAATGACATATCGTTTATTATGACTGATTCTCAAGAAATCTTA